ATGTACCTTTTAGTATGTCCCCTCTACACCTCCTTTTCATATTACTATCCTGCGTTCACAAAATCTCACTTCTTTACCCCTCTGCTCCACCCCAAAACTTGTACATCTCACCCTTACTGCTATCATCTCCCTACTACTGCTCTCTTCACCTCCTGCTGATACTTTACTGTTCTGCTGACTCAAACACCAGGACTGGAAGGCATGTGCACTCATGTACATCTTGCTCCCATGCTACTTTCCTCAACCTTCTTCTCCTAACCTCTGGGGATATCTCCCCAAACCCTGGTCCTCCAGTATCTCACCCCCACACCAGGCATCCTCTTTCTTCTGGGAATAGTCGCAATCCCCTAAATTTAATATCAGTCCCCATGCTCCCAAACACCACCCTCCCTTTTTCATGTGCGCTCTGGAATGCCCGCTCTGTCTGTAATAAGCTTACCTCTGTTCATGACCTTTTTGTCTTCTGCTCCCTTAACCCACTAGCAATTACAGAAACCTGGCTTCAAGCAGCAGATTCTTTTTCTCCCGCAGCACTTTCCTATGGAGGCCTCCTCTGGACCCACTCACCCAGACCCAGTGGTCGAAAAGGTGGTGGAGTTGGTTTGCTTCTATCCCCACTGAGCACCTTTCAAGTCCTCCCTAACCCTACCTCTCTATGCTTCTCTTCTTTCGAGACTCACTGCATCTGGCTGTTTTCTCCCATCTCTCTGAGGATTGCAGTGATCTATCGGTCTCTTGGACTGCTGTCCCGCTTTCTTGATGATTTCTCCTCCTGGCTACCCTACTTTCTCTCCTCTGAACTACCCACTATCATTCTCAGAGATTTTAACATCCCTATTAATGTCAACAACTCAGCTACATCCCAACTCTTCAACTTAACTTCTTCTTTTGCATTAGCACAATGTATACAGTCCTCCACTCACTCTGATGGGAATACATTAGACCTTGTTTTCTCCCATCTTTGCACTTCCTACAACCTCACAAACACCCCCTTTGCTCACTCTGATCACAATCTGATCACCTTCACAGTGTCCTCGTCTTCAAACACCTATCCCTTCAAGCAGCAAACAATTACCCGCAGAAACCTTCACAACTTGAACCCTGCTCCTTTTCTCTCTGCAACTGACCAACTCTATGACAGAATCTCTCTCCCCTGTCCTGCCCTGACCTGGCCACTACTGTCTACAACAGTTCGCTTTCATCCACATTAGACTCACTTGCTCCTCTAACCACACAAAGCATCATGCCCCGACCATTACAACCTTGGCAGACTGACAACACCAGAACTCTTAAACGACATAGTCATGCGCTGGAGCGATTGTGGTGTAAAACCAAATCTCAACAAGCATTTACCCTATATAAATCTGCTTTCTTAACATACAATTCCTCCCTTCATGCTGCCAAACAAGCCTCCTTTGTCACTGTTATTAATACCTTGTCATCCAGTCCTCGTTGTCTCTTCTCTACTTTTAACTCTTTACTTTCTCCACCTCTACCCAGTACCTCACTCACTGCTCACGAGATTGCAAATCATTTCAAAAACAAGATTGACGCAATTTGTAGGGGCATCGCCACTGCACAGACATCCATCCCACTTGGCATACCTTATATTAAACCTCCCTCAACACTTTCCACTTTTGACCTTGCTACTACCGAAGAGGTCACTAAAGTTTTCTCAGACGCCCATCTCAGTACCTGCCCCCTGGATCCTGCCCCTTACAACTACTACGGTCACCCTCTTCTTCCATCCTATGCTCCCTCACTCACATCTTCAATCTTTCCCTCTCTACTGGTGCCTTCCCCTCCCCTCTAAAGCATGCACGCATCACTCCCATGACTTCTCCATCAAGATCAATAACACAATCATCAGTCCCCCCCTCATGCCAGGGTACTAGGTGTAATCCTAGACTCCCATCTGTCCTTTCAGTCCCAAATCCAATCACTGTCCAAATCTTGTAGACTTCACCTCCGCAACATCTCCAAGATACGCCCGTTCCTAACCTCGGAAACCACTAAGCAACTTATTCACTCCCTTGTTATATCTCGCCTTGACTATTGTAACTCCCTCCTCATTGGCCGACCTAATCGCAGGCTATCCCCTCTTCAGTCTATCATGAATGCTGCAGCCAGATTCATCCACCTCACTAACCATTCCGTATCAGCCACCCCTCTCTGCCAATCCCTCCACTGGCTTCCCATTGCCCAACGGATAAAATTCAAAACATTAACAATAACGTATAAAGCCATTTATAACTCTGCCCCAAATTACATCACCAATCTTGTCTCCAAATATCACCCAAACCGTACTCTCCGCTCCTCACAAGACCTCCTACTCTCTAGCTCGCTTGTCTTCTCCTCCCATGCTCATCTCCGGGACTTCTCCAGAGCTTCCCTCATCCTCTGGAACTCTCTACCCCAATTTATCAGTCTAACGCCTACTCTGCTCACGTTTAGGCGATCTCTGAAAACCTATCTCTTCAGGGAAGCCTATCCTGCCCTCAGCTAATAATGGAATCTTCTACTCTTCCAACCAGTCCATCCCCCACAGTTACTACCTTTTTATACCACTAGCCCTTCCCTCCTAGATTGTAAGCTCCAAGGAGCAGGGCCCTCCTAACCCTCTTGTATTGAACTGTATTGTTGCTGTATTGTCTCCCGTTATATTGTAAAGCGCTGAGCAAACCGTTGGCGCTATATAAATCCTGTATAATAATAATAATAATTTATGGTGTGTTTTTTTTATGTTTGGGGTGCCATTAGCAATAATGGCACCACAAATGTGATGCACGGTTTTTTACACATTTTCTGCGTACTCTGGCAACAGGCATGGAAACTCTAGATTCTGCAAATGTTCCCAGCATGCACAAATGTGAATGGGTCCTTTTGGCTTTTTTTTTAGCAGAGATTCAGTAGTTAGATTAGTAGTGGAAGGCAGTGGTTTACATTAGCAGTATGTGAAGTTGAACTAATGTATAACATCATCCTGCATTGTTACAACATAAATGTTCAGCAGGCACCCATGAAATATGGTTGCTGGTTTTTGCCCATGCTTCGTAGACTGTTAGGCCTGTAGATAAAAAGGAAAGACACACAAGAGCCGTGCACTCTGACTAAATAGAAAAAAAAATAAAAAACATAGTAGAATTTTTTTAATATGTACTAGTCAGATGATAGTGACACTTTTTTAATAGTATATGTTTTTTTTTATTTGAATATTATTATTATACATTATTTATATAGCGCCAAAAGGTTTGCTCAGCGCTGTACATTATAGTGGGGGACAGAACATGAGACAATACAGTAACAAGACAAAACACGAGGGCCCTACTCTTTCGAGCTTACAATCTAGGAGGGAGGGGATAGTGGTACAGGAGGAAGTGGCTGAGGGGGATGGAGTGGTAAGAGGAGTGCAGAGTGTAGATCGGCTGTTAGGTCAGGGTGGGGTAGGCTTCCCTGAAGAGATGGGTTTTCAGGGTGCGCCTAAAGGTTCGGAGGGAAGGTGACAGTCTGATGGATTAGGGTAGTGAGTTCCAGAGGATGGGGGAAGTCCTGGAGAAGTCCTGCAGTCGGGCGTGGGAGGTGGAGACCAGGGAGCTAGAAAGTAGGAGGTCTTGTGAGGAGCGAAGATTACGGGTTGGGTGGTATTTGGGTATCAGGTCGGTGAGGTAGTTTGGGGCAGCGTTATGAATGGCTTTGTATGTCAGTGTTAGTAGTTTGAATTTAATGCGTTGGGCAATCGGGAGCCAGTGGAGGGAGTGACAGAGGGGGTTCCTGTATTGTTATTTCACTGCATGCACAAATGTAAGGTAATTAATTGTGTCTTTGATTAGGAATCCTTATCTAATCAAGAAGAAATCATTGAAAAGAAGCACAAGGATGCTTTATCTGTTTTAAAGAAACAGGTACTGTATAATTACAATTTTAGTTATAACCTTTCATTTGTGGTTAACATTTTATAATTTTTTTGTCGGTTCACACTGCTGTGGTGTGGGTTTTGCAGCAATTCATGTTTCCCGTACCACATCACAATCACACTGTGTTCATATGATCTTCTGCAGGTGTCAATGTTAACAACACCAGAAAAACAGGTCACAGAACGCAGTGCAATTGCCTGAATCAGATGCCTACACCTTTTTCATGTGGATGTGGTGCAATTTGAGCAATACAAAATTAATGGAGTCAAATCACAGCACACAGAATCGCATGTGATTTGAACAGGAATGCGGTACAATTCCTGTACGAATTTCATGTGGTTCCCCGCATCAGTGTGAACTGAGACTTAAACAGTACCAAATGCTTTGTTTTTATTGCAATAATACATCTGTGTTTACAAGTTCAGGACAACACTTTAAATCAGGGGTGGGCAACTGTGGCCCTCCAGCTGTTGTAGAACTACAAATCCCATGATGCATTGCAAAACTGACAGTTACAAGCATGACTCCCAAAGGCAGAGGCATGATGGGACTTGTAGTTCACCAACAGCTGGAGGGCCACCCTTGCATTAAATTATTGCTGTAAAAAATGTCCAGAAACACTTAGAGGAATTCATTAACTAGTAGCCGACCGCAGATAGCCGAATGACGGCTGCACTGCGGCCGGCCAGTTCTGGGTGGACGTCATATGACGTCCTCCCAGAACGCGCTCTCCTGCGCGCCCCAGGGGGCACGCACCCGGCGATCTCTGTGATCGCTGTGTCCTACGGACACAGCTGATCACGTGATGTGGTAAAAGGCCAATCACAGCGGCCTTTTACCACCTGATCAGCGGTGTCCAATGACACGCTGATCAGAGGGAAATGCAAGTGCCGGTTCTCGGCTGCACTTTCCTCACGCTGTCAGAACGTGAGGAAAGTACTGCCGAGAACCGGCAGTTGTCAGAGCGGGGATCGGCACCGATCATCAGGGCACTGATGATCAGTGCCCTGATGATCGGTGCCCAGCAGTGCCACCTGCAAGTTCCGCTCACCTGTGCCCAGCAGTGCGCCCACTAGCTCTGCCCACCCGTGCCCAGCAATGCCCCCACCTGTGCCCAGCAGTGCCCCCACCTGTGCCCAGCAGTGCACCCACCTGTGCCACTCTGCAGTGCCACCTACCTGTGCCCAGAAGTGCCACCTACCTGTGCCCAGAAGTGCCCACCCACCTGTGCCCACCAGTGCCACCCACCTGTGCCCACCCACCAGTGCTGCCCACCAGTGCCACCCACCAGTGCAGCCCAGCAGTGCTGCCAGTCAGTGCCACCAGTCAGTGCCCAGGGGTTGTGCCAGTCAGTGCCGCCAGTCAGTACCCATCAGTGATGCCAGTCAGTGCCGTATATCAGTACCCATTATCAGTGTCACCTATCAGTGCCGCCTATCAGTGCTGCATATTAGTGCCGCCTATCCGTGACACCTCATTAGTGCTGTCTATCAGTGCCGCCTATCCGTGCCACCTCATTAGTACTGCCTATCAGTGCCCTTTAGTGCTGCCTATCAGTGCCCATCAGTGCCGCCTATCAGTGCCCATCAGTGCTGCCTCATCAACGCACATCAGTGAAGGAGAAAAAAATACCTGTTTGAAAAATTTTATAAAAGAAACAAAGAAACTTTTTTTTTTTTTTAATTTTTTGCACTTTTTTTATTTAAAGTAAAGCGCCCAGTGGCGATTAAATACCACCAAAAGAAAGCTCTATTTGTGAGAAAAAAATGATCAAAATTTCATATGGGTACAATGTTGCATGACCGCGCAATTGTCAATCAAAGTGCGGCAGCGCTGAAAGCTGAAAATTGGCCTGGTAAGGAAGGGGGTATAAGTGCCTGGTAGGCAAGTGGTTAAGGGTGTCTTAGACATACCTTAGAATTCCACTGGGGTACAACACCAATAGTGTCGGTGCTGGCAAACGATTCATGTACCTGTCAGAAACGGTACTGTCTATGTCTGCACTGAGGAAGCCGTTTCCACGCTGGGCACTCCTTCCTCAGTTCACTCCCCTGGCCACTGACACTGACAGGGGAATGGCCGTGGAGTTTTGTACTAGGGGTGGGCGGAGCTTGAACGGGAACAGAGAGCTTAGTTCCTCCTCAGGTCCACCTTACCTTTGATTGACAGCCACAACAGTGAGCCGATTCATAGCCACTATTCTGTCCAATAGCAGCTTTCGAATACACCTACTGCTGTGCGCTGTAAATTAAAAGTAAAGCAGACCTGATGGGAAACTAGACTCTCAGTTCCCGATCAGGCTCCCCTCACCCAGTGACAAGTCATTTCCCAAATTTGAGCTTTGCCCACCTGTTTCTTCATTCTCATTTGGCTTTTGGCTGGGGAATCCCCTAGCCAACACCTGAATGGAGCCAGGGATACAGCTTTGCGTGGGAAGCTACCACATACATGAAACGGCCTGCTGGTACCTCTGTATACCAGCTCAGAGGTGGACTTAATGCTCCTTAATGCTTAAATGCTTCTTTATGAATTAGTCACTGCCATAGCGACAGATTCTTAAAGTGGTGGTAATAGGAACAACCTGAATTTGACACGCATGTCGGTAATGTTACTGACACTGGTGCAAATGCTTGCCTGAATTAAGTGCCAGTAGTTCCTAAGAAAAGTATTGTTAGGACTATATTAAATTCCTTTGACTCTCTTTTTATTAATGTTATGGCCACAGCCTCCAAGTCCCTCTGCACTATTTCCTTGGAGAGTGAACATTCATCACTTCATTCACAGTAACTTTATTATCCTTCCTCAGGGAATACGTCCCGTAATTTATTGAGCCACTGTGCATGCATGCCTCTTGCAAGATGCTGTCAATCTTTTACTTGAGGCTTGTCTATTCCTGGAATGCATGTGCATGATGATGCAGCAACATAATTACATTCGTTTTTTTAGTACCGGGTCTGCGTATGGATGGATGGCTCAAGCCAGACGTCATAGAACCTTGCAAATCAAGGAACAACCCTTACAGCAAAAATTGAGGCCCAAATCAGGGGACTAGGTAAACATGGAGCATAGAAAACTAAAAATAAGCATCAGACTATTTAAGCCAAGGCATGGGATCCTAAATTGTTAAATAGAATTTAAAATCACTTTAATTACTGTTGAAAAAAGTTTAGTTATCCTTATGACTTTTTATTACTTCATGTCACACTTGACCCATAGACGTACATAGAAAGGAGAACAGGGAAACACAGTCATTGTGCAGCACATCCAGTCAGGAAGAAGAACTAACTTATAATGAGCAAATATCCCTGACCACATGTGAATATGTATACAAACATTTTTAAAACCAGAACACCCATTGATAACATTATTTTCAATTAGGTGGTCACATATACATAAAACAGACTATATTTTATTTTTAAGAAGTAGAGTCTTGTACTGTACTTTTTGTTGACTATAGTTAGCAAGCTTTCGAGATTTTAGTTCCCTTCATCAGGCTTCTTACCTTCAAGAAAGACTTTCCTACCTATGTGTGTAAATTAAAATACATGTAATTTTATTAAAGTTAATACATTGACAATATAATTGTAAAGCATGTAAATTTTATTTTTTCATTTATATGTTTTTATTTTGTAAGTCAGTCAAATAATACAGAGCACGTTTGTCATGGTCATGTCAACAATACAAGCACATCTCAGAAAATGCCATGCATATCAAGATAGGAAATATAAAATGTACTGTTCCAGCATAAAAACAAATAAATGATTTGCAGGGTGACCACTTAAGTGTGCTAGGTGTTCCAGAACCATACAATGAGGCAATACATGTCAAAACATTAGGATTTGTAGTAAGGCTGGTGTACTAGTTTTCTTTTGTAAAGCTCCAAGGTAAAGAGGATAATTATGCAGATATAGCAAATGAAAGAATAAAGAATCAGTGGAGATAAAACAGGATTTTTGGATGATAAGTACAACAAAAAGGTACAGGAAGGAAAGGGGGTGGGAGTTAGAAAAAAAAGAAAGGGGTAGGGGATGTTGGGGGAAGTTTGCACTCAGCATCACTGTGACGCATCCTGGGAGGTCAGAATTGTGTTGTATGCCCGAGAGTATAGGAAATCGTACCAGTAAACCAGGTTTTATTGAACCCCTCCTCTGTTTTTGGGCTGCCATTAGCTTTTCCATCTCGTTAATTTAGTTCAGCACAACTATCCACTGACGAACAGTTAGAGTATTTTGGCATTTCCACTTTTGAGGAATGCATATTTTAGCGACATTTAATAGATGAATCAGGAGGGTTCTCTTGTATCTACGCCTAAAAAGTGGGGTGAGATGGCGCAGACACGGCTCTGATTTATCTGCCAGTGAGATATCCGTCAGCTTAAAAATCAAGCTTCTAACAGTGTCCCAAAAGGAATAAACACCAGGACTCGTCCAACAAATATTTAGCAGAGTACCTTCAGCTTGTTGGCATCGCTAACAGGTAGGGGGGACCAATGTGTAGATCTTGTGTGGGAGGGCTTGCACTCTGTACCAACACGACATAACTTTGTAACCCCCCTCTTCGAGTCTACTTGCAATAGAGGAGCGGTGTGCAAAATATAAGACACGTCTATTTGTTCATTGGTGAGCCTTCGATGTAGATGCTGTTCCCGCTTTGTAAAACATGGACCTTATTTAACCTTGTTGCTCTCTTGGTGGGCTTGGAATTCCTGCACTTTAGTATTTGCATGTATCCTCCACTTACTCCTGCTATAAACACATGCCATTATCCATACATAACATTGGTCACACACCGTGCAGTTCTGGGTGCATAGGAATGTGTATCCATACAGGTTGTATACACTGAAATGCATTGTTGCACTGACCTGGGATGTTTCCCTTATTGCAGCCAGTGATTACTATAGAGACTAATGCAGACTACTGCATATATTTCCAAGGACATCTGCAGCACATTCTGTAAGGAAGTACCTTTTGCAATTTACTTCTCTCTTTGTTCAAATAACTGTTTGTATTTACTGAAATATTATTTTTCCTTCTAAACTACAGTTTAATGCAAAGATGTGTGCAGTGGAACTGGAAAAGGTATGGATAACCTATACTCTCCTAAAATGAGGAACATGCCCCTTTGAGACTTGCAATTAATGTGATTCAGTTGTAAAAAAGCTCTACTGTGCTTAGATTTCAAATAATCACTGTCTGGATTGATTAAACCTAATATAATTTTTTGCTTGGATTAAACCATGTGATAAGAGCAGCTAGCGCAGTTGAAAGATACACAACCTCAAATACCATCATACTAAACGTGCAGCGCTAAAATTAAATAATCAACTATAATAGAACTCCCCTCCTAAAAATTATGTGCTAAAATACATGTCCACAGTGATCCATCAAAAAAAAGTCCATTCTCAATAAATGTCTATAGTAGTGAATGTGTGTCCAACCATACAAGGAGAAGAAGAGACCCACTTTTCCAATGAGGCTGAAGAAAAAGAGTGGGTCCAAACATCTAGTGGCAACCACAGGCACGTAAGAACCCTTATTGGAGCTGTTGGGCTTTTAACCTAATGAAAATCCAAAGCGTGCTTTGGTACTCAACCCCAAATAAATCCGTGGCAGATGATGAAACCCCAGTCCTGCAGTACCACCTTGAACTTCACACTCCACTATTACCTTCCAGCTCACACGCCATCTTGACAATTGGAGTCCAGTCAAATGCACCGGGATCCTTCCTCAGCCACTTCTCTACCTCTGCTCGTTTTTTCTCAACAAAGTGATGATATTGTTGAAAGCTTCACATGCATAGGGAAGCTGATAAATTGTAGGTCCAGTTCCAAAGTCAATTAGCAGGTCTCCTTTAACACCACCTTTATTGGTGAATCACAATAAAGGGCTGAGGAAGGATCCCGATGCATTTGACTGGACTCCAATTGTCAATATGGCGTGTGAGCTGGAAGGTAATAGTGGAGTGTGAAGTTCAAGATGGTACGCGCAGGACTGGAGTTTCATCATCTGCAATGAATTTATTTGGGATTCAGTACCAAACCGCATTTTGGCTTTTCATTAGGTTAATGAACAGGTCTTACACACCTGTGGTTGCCTCTAGATTTTTGGATTTCCACTCTTCTTCTTCAGCCTCATTGGAAAAGTGGATCTCTTCTTCT